GCTATTTTTTTGTTGCAGTTTGGCTGGGACAGGGTTCAAACCCATCACCCTTGGTATATGAGGCCAGTGCTCTACCCACTGAGCCATAGGTGCCAGCCAAGAATAAAGTCTTATTAAATCTTAAAAGCTGTGCCCCTACCTTGAGCCATGGTCTGCCTGGACAAGTACTAACTACAACAAAGGCCATGTAATGAAATAGGGAGAATCTAGCTATTAACCCCTTTGAAGGCCTAACTTGCCCAAGAGTTAACTAGTCTTCTGGAAGAAACATCAAAAGAGCTGTACGATAGGTATGGGCTTCCTAGTATAAACAGACATTGACAGCACAGACAGCTATCGACCTGCACCGAAGGACTGAGGCAGTATACAGAGATTCTTTAGTCTAGAACAGTGGTTCTCAACCTTCCTAATGGTGCAATGTGTTTTCATTGTTAAAAAGGGGTCACGACCCACAGGTTGAGAACCACTGGTCTAGAAGGAAACAGAATCATGAAGGTAGGCTGTGTAACCCAGGAGTCATGAAACCTGCTTTTGATGCAATTATGGATTTTATTTTTTAAATTTCAGGTTAATATGAGGGTACAAATGATTAGGTTGCAATGTTTGCATTTGTTATGTAAGATATCTGTGCCCCTCACTCGAGGTGTGTCATGTATCTTTACACTGTACCTATTAGGTGAGAGCATTGCAATCCCCCCTTCTTTCTCCTCCCCTCCCCCCAAATTCTATTCTATTTTTTTTTTTTTTTTACACAACGAATTGCTTTTATTTCAGTATGCATCCACATGTCAGCATTTAGTGGTCCTGAACAGAATGTGCAAAAACGCAGCCATTTGCCAGGAAGTCAAGCCCGCCAATTTTGGGGATCAACTCACCAGTTCTTTCTGGATCCCTGCTGAGGATTGGATCGTGCGAAGCAGCAGCACCAAAACCAAAGTATGCACTGAATTCAAGGTTTTTTGGTTCCAGTTGTCAAATTCCAAACTAGATCCCAATTGATTGCAAGGATGACAAAATGAAAGCCCTGTTTAAAACTTCTTTGATTTTTAAAAGCAAAAGGAATTACAGGAAAACAAAACAATTCAGAGAGATGGTGTGTGCTTATAAGTATCTTCATGTGGGCTCTCTCCAAGTTACCAAGGACTCTGAGAGCTGGCAGGTCTGAGTAACCCTGCTGACTGTTCACCTTATCAAAACCTGAGCTAAAAAAATGCATCAGCTGATGATGACAGCAGAGGTGGCAGGGCTGAGGACCCAATTCATTTCCTAGGCTGGTGGAGTGAATAAATGTGATTCCAAAACTAAACAAGGGAGGTCAGAGACTCTTTCCAACCTTACCTGATGCCTTTTGGCCAAAGCAAGGAAGTGTATGGAAAGTGTTGGGTGGTGACAGTGCAAAGAGGGACTTGAGGAGGAGGCAGGAGAAAGCAGCACCCCTTGATACCCTTGATAAAGGTGGGGGAGAGAAGATATGGGGAAAGCCTTGAATTCCTCACCGAAGGCCAATCTCAGAGGAGAGCAGAGTGGTTACAATCTATGCTTTGGCCAAGGGTGGGAGTTGAGGAGAGTGGGAAGGGGATGATGGCTTGGAAGGGGGCATCATTTAAGACTTAAAGAATCAGGGGTGCAGACAAAGCACCCCACACACCCAGCAGTAGTCCCACAGGCTGTGACCTGAAACCTTCATGTCTACTCTAACAAGTCCCCCAAGCTTGAGGGCTGTTGCAGCGAGGGAAGGAGACAGGGCGAAGGGAAATGAGAGAAGGCAGAGACCCCAGGCCAGGTAATCAGCAGCAAGGTGATTGTGTGATGCTGTCTTTTCACAGTTGAGTTAGATGTGCCCCACCAGTTATGATGGGAACCAATTTAAATATACTTTCTTGATCCCAGAAGTTCAGCTACATGGACA